GGCCCTGAACGCATCACCAGAAGGATTCACAGCTTTTTATTCGATTTTTTTTCAAAGCACACCGTTCCTCTCTGTTTAAGATTCATGAACGCAACATGAATATTTAATCGGGGCTGTCTAGGACACCTTGAAGCAGAGACACACACACACACAGACACACACAGACACACACATACACAAACACACACACTCCAGGAGGACCAGCTGCTAAATGATTCATTTTCCAGCTTTTTCTGTGTCACTCCCATGTTCTGTCAATGGGAGAAAAAAAAACTCTGACCGGATCCAGTATGACTTGTGTTGGATTTGGGGTTCATTTGTTCCTTGTCCAAAAATAGAAGTGAGAAAAATCCCACCCCCCCCCTCCTCCAGAGGCCTTCAGGGGAAGACTGTAGACGTGCATCTGCTCAAATAAAGTCTGTAGAAGACGTGGACTCTGTGTTCTCTCATTTATTCCGAGTGCTTTAAACTCATTTCCTGGTTTTGAGGCGCACATCTGTCTGTGCCGCACATCTGCCGGCTACATTTGAACCCCATCAAAATCCGCTTTAAAATCCCGTTTTAGACGCGTCCCCATCGGCGTTGCCGTTCACGTCCGCGTTGTCATGGCGACGCGGGAGGCAGGCCGGTGGAGAACCATCTCCATTTTTCTTGGTGACTATTTTTAGACTATTTTTATCCCCACCCCCCGACAAAAACACACGTCCAGATCCCGTCCCGCCGGCTCTCTCCGTCAGCCAACTTTATTTTCTTCATATTTATGCATTCTGTACTTACACATGTACACTTGTTAGAAAAATCCGTAGCGCCACAAACGCAGCATATAGAAACGGGGCGTCTGTAATTACACCGGTCAGGGATTGTGTGTGTAAACAGAGGGTCGAACGTAAGATCAGTAGAAGTGGTCAGCATCATGAGTTAGTACAGGAAGTCATCAGCACACAGGGCAGGTGGAAGCTCTTAAAAGTATCCCAAAACAGCATCGATTTGCTTTAAATAGATCCTTTTTTCTCAGTCAGGGGTGTGACAAATGGCAGAAAGTTACAAAGAAAAAAAAAAAAAAAAAAAACACCTTCTCTGGTAAACATTTGGAATCGATCAAGTCTGTTTTGTTTTTTTTTAAATGCATATTTTAAGTGTCCGACACACTGGAGAAAAATGACCCGTGATTAACATTCTCTGTATAAGAATAGGGAGTTAAACAACAGTCGTTATAGAAAAGGGGGCGGAGCTAATGAAAGGTGGACCAGGATGGAGCTGTTCCCTCACTAAATGGACGATACAGAAAACTGGAAAGACGTATCAAATGGTTTTCACTGGAGACCGGAGTGAGTCGGTAAAAGTGCAGAATAAAGGGGGTACCGATGCTAGAAAACGTCTCTGGACCCGTACGAACAACAGTACTGCATGTTGGAGAGGAGCTCACCGTAAGGATGAGGTGGCGTCAATAAGTTAAAATAAACGTTTCAGACTGTGGAGGCAAAAAGAAAGAAAAAAAGAAAAGAAAAGGAAGCTGAAGAATATGTTAAAGAGCAAAGCAGATAAGGGCAGTCTGACACTTTGGGAAAAGAGCTCAGCTTAGTTAGTGTGGGGAAAAGTGGAGCC